GAAATATTTGGTTTTTTACTCGTCAAATTCCTATCTTCTGGAGTCGAACTCGGGTCTGTATTTCAACAGTTCATGGCTGTACCCACTGAGCTAGGTTTTTTTTTTTTTTTTTTTTTTTTTTTTGTCTTTTATTACTCTTTTTGTTTTTTCTTTGTTTTTTCTTTGTTTTTTCCCCGACAAGGTAGTTGCCATCGCCAACTTTTATTTTCAATTTCGTCTCATTCCACTATTTTACGTTTCATCCTCCGCTTCTGAAATTTTCATTTCAATTCCACAAATTCCATTTTCATTCCATTTCCTACGACACTTCCGTTTTATTTTTATTTTTATTTTTATTTTTATTTCATTTCTCCGCTTCCATCTCATTTGTGGATTTCAACTCGCTCTTTTATTCCAAGTTCTGCAGGGTTTCCCCCCCCCCCCAAGTTAAGACCAGATTGAATGTACCAGTCGCGCCTGAGATCCTACCCTGTCTTGCGTCATACCTTCCCACCAGACCTAATTAAGAGATCCTCAATCGCCTCCTCTCTCCCTCCCTCCCTCCCTCCCTCCCTCCCTCCCTCCCTCCATCCATCCATCCCTTCGCTCAGCTGCAGTCGCGCTGACAACAACAAATTGCAGATTCCATGGATGACCAACGACAGAGCGGGCGGAGGGAGGGAGGGGGGACACAGAGAGAGAAAGGGAGGGACGGAGAGACAGAGAGAGAGAGAGAGAGAGAGAGAGAAGAGAGAAAAGAGAAGAGAGAAGAGAGAAGAGAGGAGAGAAAAGAGAGAATGGGGACGGGGAGAGGTGCAGGAGAGCAAGCACCCTACCAGCCCAAGCAGCCGCTGCAGATGCTACCGAAGCTCCTATAGTAAAAGTGACTTTGTGCCGCTCAAACACTACCTGCCATACACATGTCGCGCAATTACATGGAAAGTTTAGGCAGATTTAGGGTTTAAGTTGACCACAGTGGAAAAGAAGTAATCGAGAGTTTCAAAACGGAAGATAAGGAAAGAAGGGCATCAGCAAAACCAAGGGGAAAAAAAATCAGATGAGAACACAAACTGTTCAGAAATAGCCAGAAAAAAAAAAAACAAAAAAAAACGTCAAAATCAATCTAGGTTTGCCCACTCTTCCAGAACAACACAGCCATAACAACAAAATTTTAAAAACAAACCCAAAAAGGAAACGACGAAAAACAAATCCGAAAAATCTGAATCGAGAAGAGTGATGGCTGAATTTGGCGGGAAAAGGTTAGCCAGCAATAATAAATTGGCGGGAGGAGGCAAGCAAGCACATCTATAGCGAAGTACCTGGACCGGGCGCGACGGAGGGGAGGAGGTAGGAGGGAAGGAGGGGGAAACATAAGAGGGCGGGG